GAGAGGCTGTGGAGAAAAAGGAACTCTCATACACTGCTGGTGAGAATGTAGATTGGTATAACTGCTATAGAAAATAGTATGGAGGTTCCTCAAAAAATTAAGAATAGCATTACCATATGACCCAGCAGTCCTTCTTCTGGGTATCTATCCAAAAAAATCTGAAAATATTTATCTGTAAAGATATATGTACCCCTATGTTCATTGCAGCATTATTCACAGTGGCCAAGACATGAAAACAACCAAAGTGTCCTTTGATAGATGATTGGATAAAGAAGATGTGGTATATAAACACAACGGAATACTATTCTGCCATAAGAAAAGATGAAATAGTGCCATTTGTGACAACATGGATGGATCTTGAGATTATCATGCTAAACAAAATGTCAGATAGAAAAAGTCAAGAACCATATGATTTTACTCATAGTGGGATTTAAAATTGAAAGCAACAAGACAAAAACTCACAGACACGGACAACAGTTTAGTGGTTACCAGAAGGTAAAGGAGAAAAAGGGGTGGTAAAAGAGGGGGTCAAATATATGGTGATGAAAGGAGAACTGACTCTGGGTGGTAAACACACAATGTGATGTATAGATGATGTATTATAGAATTGTACACTTAGGTACAATTAGGTATGTACACTTGAAACCTATGTAAACCATTGTCACTCCAAAAAATTTAATTACAAAAAAATAGAAAAGCTTGCTGAGCTGCTCTGCATGAGAAAAGAAAGAGAATTTGCTCCTGAGAGAGGATGGGTGCGGAGTTTGGAGAACAAGGAAAAACAGAATGAGTGAGAGAGGAGGCAGTAAGATGGGGAGAGACTGGGATTAGGTTTAGGGAGGAGTCAATGAAATTTTAACAGTAAATATATTCTTCTAATGTTTTGTAATTATTGATTTGTGGTTCTTATGCAAACCAGTGGGTCTCTAAGTGTGGTCCCTGACAGCAGCATCAACATTTTCTGGGAAATGGTTAGAAATGCAAATTCTCAGGCCCTACCCCTCACCTCCTCACCCTGAGGATGCTGCACAGAAATCTGCTTTAGCAAGCCCTCCAGGTAATTCCGATGTGCTCCAAGTTTGAGAACCAGAGTAAATCTCTCCTCTCCTCACTCTCCACACCAAATTGCAGTTAATGTCTAGACATTCACATATGTTTTGTGGGACTGTTTTTGTTGTTTCTGAGGCAGCATAGGTGTCAGCACTGAGAGAAACAGGATTCCTAGAGGTAGAGGTGGCCACAAGGACAAAAATCTCCAAGGAATTTTCAGAAGTGTTCTGAATTTCACAGGTCAGGAATTAGGGGGACTGTGTTCTGGGGAACAGGGAGGATCCACCGACCATGTTTCTGTAATAAGCCCACTTCCCACTTCCTACTCTTATGTCTTCATCTATCAAGCCTTCAATACTCCCTCCTTGCTTCTTGTTCTCCACAGTTTTCTTTGTTTTACACCTCACTGAGGGAAAGAGAATCACAAAATGGCAACAACCTCATTCTCCTTGATTCAGTGGAATCTAGAAAACCTGTGCCTTTTGCCCTTCTCTTTCCTACTTTGCTCTTGTCACAATGGAGGATGAATAATCCCATCTATAAAGCCATTCATCTGTTCCCTGGATACCACCCACTCAAGAATTTCACTTCAGAAGGTAGTGCTCTTCAACCTTGGCTCCAAGAATCAATGGCGGGGCTTTTTAAGAACCTTAAAGCTCCAGACAAATTACCTCAGAATCTCTGGATGGGAGAATGAGGCATCACCAGTTTTTAAAGCTCCTCCTGTGATTCCAATGTGAAGCCAAGGATGTGAACACTACCCTCTCCCTGAGCAGTGAACTCTCTTTTTCCTGGTTTGTCTCTAGCACCATAAAATTATGCCCACTCACTCATGTATTTAAAAACGTCTCCTTTGATCTTCATATCACCATCTCAGTTTCACAGGAAGTCTTCCTGAAGAGAATGGCAATACCTGCTATCTCCACTTCCTCACCTCCCATTACACGGCAGTCCATGCACATCGCTCTGGCTTCTGTCTTTAGTAAAACAATTCTTTCAAGTTCCTTAATTACTTCTGCATTTCCACAGTGTATGCTACTGTATTTCCTTATCCTAGTCAACTCACCAGCAGCATTCCAAAGTGCTAATTGCTGCCTTCTTGAATCAACCAATATATCTGGCGCTGAGACACCATCTTCTTCTGACTTCCTTTCATTCTGCTGGCTACTCATTCTCAGTCTAGGCACTTCTCCTTTGTCCAGACTCTTACTGTTGACGATACAAAGTCCATTTTTTTTCTTCTTTAAAAATCTCCATTAGCTCCTGGTGGTGCCCATTTTTACACCTTTATCTCAGGCATCTCCTTTGATCTCTAGATTCACTTATTCAAGAGCCTACTTGACTGTACTCACATCCTGTGACTACATATTAAATTTTAGTTGACATTCAGTGTTATTAGAGTTCATGGAATTGTAATAGCTATATATGATGTCAGAGGGGTAGTAGATTTGGGGAAGGGGTTATCACTTTGTGGGTTGTGTAAATGTCTAACTATTACATTGCTTTGTATATCTGAAACTAAAAGAAATAAAAAGAACCTACTTGACATTTTCACTTGAATGTCTCACAGATATCACCAAATTAACATTTCTAGATGTGACTCTTAGTTCCATCCCTAAATGTACCTCTCCACTTTCCCCAGTCTTCCTAGCTCTGAAAATGAATGGCACCACCATCAACTCAGCTGGTCAAACCACACACCTAAAGTTGCTTTTGACTCCACCTTCTCCTTTACTTCCCATGTTTAACCCCTCTGCAATTTTTGTTCTAAATCCAAAGTGGATCTCCAATACATCCCTTCCTCATCATCTCCATGTCCACCATCATAGTCCAGTCCACCATTATCTTTGTCCTACATGACAGCCTTCAAACTGATCTCTCTGGTTTTATTCTCACCTTCCTCCAATCAGTGATACCTAGGGGACATTCCTCTGCTCCTTCTCTGTAATGCAGTATCCAGTGCTAGGGCCATGTTATCTATAGATCTAGGTAATTCTTCCTGAGCACCTGGAAGCTGCTCACCATGGATATAACCGAAGACATGGAAGTGATCAGGTAGTCAAAAGTTATTAGACTACCCACTTCCCAAATGGTTCTGCTGTAAAGTGACTATGTCAGGCAACATGATTAACCCTTTTTACTTCTAGAAGAGTGGTCATGTAAGTTGAAATTTACACAGATGATGTAATCCAGAAAACAGCAAACAAACCAAAGTTTGGGTAAATCATATTCTTTAAATATTCTAGGGTACTAGATATATATTTTTCTTTTGTAATGCAAGGAAAGTCAATAAAAAAACTCCTGGTTTATTTATTTTATAAGTATGGATTTTAAAAATTCAATTTTCTTACAATAAGCCACCTCCTATGTACTCCTCCATTTCAGACTCCTTTGCTGACTCCTTCTATATCAGACTCTTAAATGCTGGTGTTGTTTGGGGCTTGATACTGTATCCTCTTTATCTATATTTTCTTCCTAGGTGCAGATAATTCCTACATCTACATCTCTGATTCTCGTCTCCAGATTCATATATCAGGATAACTACTTGTCATTTGTTTGGTATCTAAAGTTATCTCCAATTTAACATTTCAAAATCTAGTTTGTTTCTATACCTTTACTCCCCTCAGTCTTTTCCACTTCTGTAAATAGCATCCCATTCACTCAGTTGCAGAATGCCTTCTATCTGGTTGACAAGATTACTGTAAACAGGAGCGCACCTTTGAACTGCACATGGCCCAGTTAAGTCTCCTGCTACCAACAACCTTGAACATCTTTCACATAGATAAGATTATTGGGTACAAGGTAATACGGGTGGTAGGTGGGAAGTATAGAATTAACTTGGTGCCATCTGCCAACACTACTGAAACATAATTCAAAGAAAAGGTCAGTAGGATCCAGGTTTATGTTATATATGAGTAGAAAACATTGTTCACTTATTATCTCTGTGTAAGTCCAGCTCAACCCTGATTCAGATTCAACTCACAAACAAAGGTCATTCAAAATTAGAAATAATATAAACTAATTTAAGAAGATTTTAGGGAGCAATGCACATGGTGTAAGATGATGTGAGAAGTCTTTTGCATCATGTAAGCTTTTATATGTTTTTATTACTTATTTCTTAAGAGCTAAAAGTGAGCCCTCTCCCACCAATGCTGCTGGAATATTTACATCTGCCTCTGGAACTTAAAATCAGCCCCATGCCAAGTATGGAAGCAGGAGGCAGATATAGAAGGTTAGAGATAGGGATGGGGAGAAAATACTGTGTGTGACTGTGTTTTTAAATTGAATTGATAGGGAAATTCCTGGATTTGACTGAGCTTATTTAAATATATTTAAATATAACTAGATCAAACTTCTGCAGCAGACACAAAGAATACTCAAAATACCAGTAGAGATTAAGTTGTATTATATTTAAATAAAGCTATGTGTTTGCACATCCAGTTATGGCTTATGAAATTTGCATCCATTATGCATATAAACAAATGTGTAGAAGCCTTTAAACATTAAGGCTTTCTGTTCTTGAATTAGGAAGATAGAGAAGTTAGCTCCACTATGGACAGGATCAACATTACTGTTTTTCTGAAGTCAGATTATGGATCCTAATAGTTTTGAAAGTCAAGTTTAATAGCTCATTTTGTTCACAGAGCAATAGCAAACACAGAGGCAATGCTATCAACACATAGCTCAACAATTAACTAATTGTGCAACTTTATGCAATCTTCAATTGCCTGGAATAAATGTATAGCAGCATTAACCTTATATATACAGGTTTTGTCCTCATATACATTGAGGATAAATTTTGCATCTTTTTCTGTCTTTTAATCATGGAAAACTGTGTATGTAGAAAAGGAATATGTCTTCCAGAATAATTCTGCTATCCCTCCAAAAAGAGTAGCATTATAAACATATGAAACATTTTTTTACAAGTAAAATAAATGCCTGCCCTTTACCTTCACACCAAGGATTGAAAAGAATGTACGTGTCGGTTTCCGGGTTTCGGCGGGTGCGGATTATTCCGTAGGGGGTCCAGACCGCGACGTACATGCGGAATTTCCCCACAATGCACTCTGGAGAAGACTGGATGGACAGCCGGACGAACCTGTTCTCTCTCATGACAACCTTGGCGCCCCACTTGCCACTTTGCAACTCTGAAACGATGGGAACAGGGATGTAGGTTCCCTTGTTTTCCTGAGGATAGCGACCTATGGGAAGAAAACAGTACAGTGTTGAGTAGATTTCACAAACCAATTTTGTTTTCACTCTGCCATCTTATAGCTGAAGGTGGAAAATAATTTCATTTCTGCTACCACCTAGCTACATGATGGTAGTCCATTTTCTTAATTTCTTTGAGACTCAGATTTGTCATGTCTAGATAAAAAATATAACAATACTTACAGAGATTTTTATTGGTTGGTTAGCCAGTGAATTCAAGTAAGATGTACAAATGCCGGCCGGCCGAGTGGCTCGATGGTTAAGAACTGGCTTGGGAGGCCAGAGTGCCCCGGTTCGGATCCCACATATGAGGGCCAGTGACCCTGCCCTCTACAGCTAAGATGCTGAACAACAGCTCAACCTGGAGCTGGGCTGCCATGGGTCGCCAGCAACAGCGTAGGCTGCAGCCCCTGCTGCAGTGGGTTGCCATGGGCTACCATATGTAGCCAGCAGCCAGCGTGAGCGGCCAGCAGCCGCAGTGAGCGGCCATCCAGAAGCCGGGGACTGATCTGCCTCGCTCGGGAAGAGCGCAATGATGGCGCCAACTTGGGCCAGTGAAGCAACGTCCTCCACAACTAGACTGAAGAACAGAAACGACAGCAACTTGTCTGTTCCCCTTCCCCCAATTCCCCAATAAAAAAATCTAAAAAAAAAAAGATGTACAAATGCTAATCTGGAGTGCAGAAACAGAAACGGAACTTATAGGGTACTGTGAAGTTATCATTCCCTGAAATTCTGCCCTCTCAAAAGTTAGAATTGCTTTTTTAAGGGCAAAAGGCAAATGTTTTTGTTTATTCTGATTATAATTCTATTATTTGTTATATTACCTATAATAGGATCATATTTTTATAGGTTGTTATATGTAGCCATTTTCATATTCAACCAACACGTGTTTATTGCCAATCTCAATGAGTTAGGCATACATCATGGGCAAGAATTTAGGCTTCAGAGACAATTATCTAGGTCTGAATCTTGGCTCTGCTACTTCTTTAGCCTTGAAACCTCTGGCAAGTTACTTTACAAATCCCTGTTTCCTTCTCTTTTTCTTCATCAATAAATGAGGGTAATAATACTACATAAGAATGACATAAAATAATACAAGTAAGATGCTGTGCACATAATTTTTTATGCATTACAAATTTTTAGCCATTATTTCCAAAGAATATTAAACATCAGGGCATTTCCCGTATTTCCAGGCTCATCATACTTTATGTGTAAGCTATCTCATGGTAAATTTTATTTCTCTTTATTAATGCCATTTTGGACAAAATTCTTATTTCATTTTACCAATGGGCTTATCAAAAATGAAAGTCTTCACAGTATATAGAAAGTCAACCTCACAGCATTTTTTAACTCTTTAAATTGCAGTTTAATTTACAGGATTATCAAATGCATCAATAATTTAAACAGGAGCAAATCTTTTCATTTACAAACTTTTCCAAAATATATTAAACATTTGATTCTTCTTCAAATGAAGAAAACTACATTTCAAACCCAGTTTGCAAGTTATTTTGATTGTAAGCAGAAGAAACTTCAAGAGCAAAACTTATCCATTTGTTTCAATTGTTTTATATGAAACAAATAGAGGATTCTACATGAAAACAAACAAAAATGATGTTTCATTTGGCATCTCCAACTACTGAGGTCTTTATTCTTCAATAGGTGTATTGTTGGAGACACAGCATTCTGAGGAGGTGTTTGCTTAAATTACTGTGGTGTAATCTTGTGAGATGCTTAACCTTAAAGAAAATAATCATTTACACAGTGCAAACCAGGGAGAAAGATTAGATCCCCAGCGCTTTGCTCTGTGTTAGGGGTATCAGTTAATCACCACTCAGCATGAATATCATTATAAATCCAATAAAGTTTTAAAAATGGTTTTCTGTCAAGGTGCAACAGTGTTGAGGTGGTGTTCTTAGGACTACATGGGGCTCAGTCTCCAAGTAGTATGCATAAAATTCCACATGCAAAAGCTGTTTCCTCCAAAGGCACCTCTCTTCCCACATTCCCCATGTATATTCCCCTTGTGCACGTTCAAACTAGGGGATGATTTCCCCTCTTCTCCGGTGGCATCGTTCCTCTCTGGAGCCCCCATTACTGTCGAAGTGTAGACATCAAAGGCAATCTTGCCAGCTAAATGTGACCATAATTCATTTATTACAGTAGCTCCTGACAGCTGTTGCCACTAAATACTAGCTTGGATTCAAAATACACAGTATTAAATATGACATAAGTTTAGTAAAAATAAACTTTCCGAGATAAGTCTATGCGATAATGACAGACTTAGATTCTTTTTAAAAAAAGGATGAAAGGAATTTTAAAATGAATTTCACAAGGATGTTCCTTCAGGAATAGCAAGGAACAAGGAGAATGTATCTGAAGCTATGTGCTTGCTATGTGCTATAAGCCTGAGCATTACCTTTGTACTAACATCCATTTTTGTTGGGAACACTGAAATATCTAAGACAAGTACTAGTTTCTGTTATCACTTTTCAAATTGTGATTTCAAAGACTCATTAAATTTAACCCATCAAATTCATGTTATACAAAACTAAAGTAATAAAAAAGGACAGCCATGTTTATTCATGCTGGCTTTGAACCCACTCATGACCTAATTTAAAGACTCGGGTTTGTTTGAATATTTTTCATTCATACAACAATATTACCTACTATGTACTAGGCATTATTCTAAGTGGTAGGAATACAACAATGAACGAGACAGACTCCTGTGCTCATGGAGCTTATAGTTTATGGAAAAAAGTCAATGCCTGTGCTATCTGTTTACTGCTTTATTTCTTACAACAAACAGTGGGAGCGAAATCATTATCATCATCCTAATTTGACAAATTAGGAAATTAAGACAGGGTTGATCATTACGTAATTTGTTCAAGGTGATGCAACTAGTAAATAGTGGAATTGAGATCTGAACCCAGTCAGTCTAACTTGAGAGCCTGCAAGTTTAACCACTAAGCTCCACAGAAGCTGTATGTGTATAAAACACTTTGGAGCTGGGGAGAATTATGTTCAAATTCTGACTCCACAGTTAACTACTGGTGCAACTTTGAGCAAATTTCATAATTGCCCGAACTTCCATTTTGTTGTATTTTTTTTTGGTTTAGTTTTGGAAATGGAAAGAAAATAGATTTTATAATATAATGAAAGCTTTATGCCTTGTACAGAGTATGGGCTGACTCAGGAGATATTTTATGTTTGTGCTTTAAATAGCTACTGGAAAGTAAAGATAGGAAGGAGAAGAGGCAATTTTACCCCCTCTGGATCTAAATCTGAAGAAAGGTGTTTTTCCCAGGGAAAGCCGGTCACTTTTGTTGAAGGAGCTATTATGGCCAAGGGGAAAGCTGCCTTTGATATTTACTGTGTGAGTGTAGGCAAAGTCTTAGCCTCTTTCAATTAGACCTTTGTTTATTCTGTAAAATGTGGGTAATTGTGGTCATAGTCTGTGATAAGGAGGGCAGTTCAATAAATTGGCAGTTATTATTATTGTTATTTCCCCATTTTCTCTGGCTTTCTGATGCCTCCAGGTGGTCCTTTCTCTGCTCCAGCAGTAGGAAGCCAGGATGGGTTCACTGACAGCCAACAAATCTGTAGAACCCAAATCTACTTTCAAAGGCCATTTCATGCCAGATTCCCTTCAGCTGACTGTTTTCTGTCAGGGGACTTATCTAGGCCATCCTGCCACACACACACACACACACACACACACACACACACACACACACACATGCATACACACACACCCCTCCAAAAGCAATAGTGTTCATTACTAACTGAAAAGGCTTAATAATTCCAGAATTATCATTGAAGAATCACCTGAAAGCTAAACTCCACTCATAATTCTGATTTTCTGGATCATTTATGGTCACCATGATGTCCATTCATTCCTTAGAATAGCAGTTGGTAAACTAGAGTCCATGGAGCAAATGTAGTTTGCCACTTATTTGTGTAAATAAAGATTTACTGGAACACAGTCCAACTCAATCATTTGTGTATTATTGTGTTACAGCAGCAGAGCTGAGAAGCTGTGACAGAGACCATATGGTCTGCGATGCCTAAAATGTTTAGTATCTGGCCCTTACAATAAAACTTCACAACTTCTGCCTTAGAGAATTTTACATTTTATTTATTTAGGGGGTGATTTGTTATAGACACACAGTCTAAGACTTGAGCCTGAGAAGAAAATACCATCTCCTAGTTTTTCCTTCCAAAGAGAAACTTGATATTTAACTAGTAAAAAACATCTGAGCTACTATGAGGTCAACATCTAGTTTCCTTAATCTTAATGTCTTCTGGTTAAATCTTCACAGTCTCAGAGGGTGTTGAAGATGTAGAAAATGGTTCTAAGTTCTTACTGATTTCACTATACATCGCTGAAATGTCCAATTTTGTTACTGTAAAAGTGCAGAGTTGTGAAGGCAATTCACATGGATAGAAATGGGAATAAAGTGACAGGAATAAAGGTTTGTTTCCTGGGCTCCTTACAACAACCCTAGGAGGGAATTTTCACAGTTTGGTAACTGATACTCCATGAGGTTGTCACATGCAGGACATCATGTAACGAGGCAGAGGCAGAGGCAGGGCGTGGACCAAGGTCTCTGCACTGTGAAGGCCATTCTCCGTCCTCTGCATCATGCTGCTTCCATGGAGACAAGGAGGAGGATGCTGGAGGGATTACAAAGATGAAAGAAGCCAAGAGAAGAATAAACTGGGAAAATCTGAAGGGCTGTGAGGCAAGAGGACAGTGAGGGGATTTGCTGTGGTGGGTAGTAGATGTGTAAGACAGAAAGAAGTCTGAGTCCAAGGGCTTAGTAACTGGTGGTGAGAAAGAAAACTTGGCAGAGAGGAGCCTGCAGAGAAGGTCTCAGGGCTACAATGGAGTTGAGTTGGGAAGATTTCTAAAGTGATGCCAGTGACTGAAGGGGGCATAGGTGGGTCAGGCCATGTGGCACCAGACCGGTGTATGGAAGCAAATCAG